ATATAAACCCTGCTGGTTTGCAGTCAGTTAGTGCGTGCCTCGTCTAGAGAGCTGATAGTCAGTCATTGAGCGAGTGTCTCGAAGTCTAGCGCCGAGTAGGTCGTCGAGTGCATCGAAGAGTCTCTTGGTGTATCGCGATTAGTGCATCGTCGAGAGAGTGTGTTAAGCTCCGGGAACGACTGAACAGAAGAGTCGGGAGCTGTGATCTGTGTGTCGTCGAGTGCATCGCGAGTTGTAGCGTGGAGAGTCTCGAGAGTACGTGGAGTTCCGAGAACGACCGAGCAGAGTCGGGAGCCGTATTCTGGTACTTTGCAGTGAAGCTGTCTCCACCTTTGTAGCCTGATAACCTGAAGGCTGTGCCGCTGATTGTTCCAGCGAGTGAATAGTAGATCTTCGACGACTGTAAAACGTGACTGTGGTGCTGTCCTGATTAATATTGGTAAATAAAGGTGTTTTGATATTCCATCAAGTGCTGTCTTCTTTATTCACTACAAACACACAAATCGAGTACGAACGTAAAGGAAGAAAATAACGTAACAACTGGTGTCAGAAAAGAAAAACTTAACAATATGTTACGTAGCCAGATAAATCAGAAAAGGATCCGAATTGCTGAAAGCTTCAGGCGAGAAAATTCCGAGTGCAAAGGGTTAGTTCAATTGAAAGAAAATGCATTAGTTATGAGAAGACCCATCATTGCCCTAACGAAAAATAATGTCGCGCTTATTTAAAAAAAATATTTTTCAGAATATCGTTGTTTTTAATCATGTTTTGTATAAAATAAACTGTAAATTTAACGTTCTAATGTTTTTTAGATTTACGTAAAATAAAAGGTGGTGTTTAATTCCAAAAGTAATTTTTATTGCCATTAGTTTCAAGTTGTTACGTCTTGGCGGTTCAACTGTATAAAAGACTGAAAATAATAAATAGTATTGTACTTTAAATAAATTAAAAGACATGAAAAAATGCAAAGCTACCTATTCTATAATTAACTTTAAACTTCCATCTCAAAGCCTCTTTTGTAATCTTGCCAACATAATACGCAAACACCTCGCTCAAAGACATTATTAGATTTATTAAAGTACTAGCAGCTTAGCTGCTAGCCTTCGTCTGTCTTTTAAATGTACCGGAAAAATGGCTGAAGGGAACACCAAACGTTAAATTTAAAAACTGCGTAGAATTTTACTTCTCAGAATAACTTCATAGAAAAAAATTATTACGTATAACAAAATTACAATGAAATAAGCAATATCCCTTAATACAACTATTAATTATCCTAATAAATAAATTAACCAACTTCCCTTTGCAAAATCTTAAGAACTCAAATTGTATAAAGGAGGTTAAGAACTACGTTTCCTAAAAAAATCACTCAAAATCCTAGTAAAAAAATGAACCAACTTTCTGTTGAAGAAAAAAAAATCATGCAAAAATTTTCAATATCTTACAAACAGTGAAATAAGCAAAAAATAACATGAAAGCAACTCAAGAAACGTAAAATTCCGCGCAGAATTTCACTCTGCAGAACAACTTTATCAAAAAAAAATCAATAAAAATGTATTTTATATATATATATATATATAAATGACAACGAAATATTCCAATCTCTTAAAATCAGTGACATAAGAAATACGATGAAAAATTTTTGCCAAACCCAAAAGAATGAAACTATTCAAAATGATGCGATTTCATCAAAATCTATCAACAACAATAAGACAGGAAAATTGTTGCCAAAATCACATTTTTAAAGATGTGAGAAGTGTATTCGGAAGCTTCATTTAAAAAAAATTTAAAAATACAAAATATTATCATTTTCCCAAAATTCTTTTTGTAAAAGCAGTCGCAAGGATAAAAGTTTAAGGTGTCCAAAAATCAAAATAAATAAATAAATAAATAAACTAAACATTTTTAAAAATAAATTTTTTAGAAAAAACCCCGTTGAAAAGGTGTTAAGCTCCCTTTGTTAAATAAATTCGTATTTAATCGATTTATTCAAAGACGAAATTTATTTAAGTTCGTAAAATAGTTAAGAGCCTACGTTTCATGACGATGTGAAAATGGAGTGTGTAGAGTAAAATCTCGCTTTCCTATAGCCCATTATGTCTCAAAATGACGCGATTTCGTCACAAAACATAAAATTAAAAAAATTTAAATTCGAATTTCGAAAAAATCGCTTCGAGGTGCACCGGCTTTTGTCTAGATGCACCTTCCAAATTTCGTAGCCGTGGGTCTATTAGCTTACGCGCAGCGCGAACGAAAGACACACACACACACACACACACACACACACACACACACACACACACACACACACACACACACCACACAGACACAGACACAGACAGACTCTTTCTTTTATTATATGTAGAGAAGAGATGAAAAACACACAGGACTTTTCTCCTAAGGAAAACTGGTACTTTCGTGGAGCACTACGTAAGTTAACTCGTATTCATGTCACATTGGAGAACATTATGTAAACGCCCGTAGAGCCAGCTCATTCTTTGGAATTTTAAATCGGGGCGAATTTACAGCTCTTCAGCTGTTTTAGCAATTCTGATGCTGCTAAGATTTATTTAATTTAAATGTCATATATAGCCTTGTAAGTAAATATTTAAACAATTTAAGAGCTTTTTAGAGTCGGATTATGTTTACCACCAGATATGTTCCTTCTCATATTATTCATATTTGATACACGATGCAACTCGTTAAACCTTTACATAAGCAATCTGTTTAGTTTGTAAGATCATTTGGAGTTACTCACAAGAACTGTCCTTTCAAATTATCTTTATGTTCAAATTTATGTTCATTGTCCTTGGTATCTGTAGTCTAGGCATAACGCTGCCTAATAAATAAAACTTTTATTTCTAACAGAATATAAGTAAAATTAAACACAAGTAAACTTTTCAGTCACGCTTTTCAAGGATGTGTTAGAAACTGGAATGAAGTTCATGGCGAGTAGAAGGTAAACAAGTATGCTCAGATTCGTAATAACGAATCTATGTAAATTAAGAGAATTCGATTTTTATAGAGGTTTTCGATGAATAAAATCTCGCTTTTGATTTCAAGAGCAAACAATCATTATGAGAACATGAGGAATATGGCCTACTTTTTAGCGGGAGAATGATCTTTCATGGTTAATGTTTTTCATGACGTCACTATGGTGCGAAATCTTACGTGATCAGTTAACGAGTTAGGAAGAATGTTAATGCTCGTTGGAATTAATATCTTAAATTATGAAAGGGTGTTAACTAGCTTGAAAGAGTTTAAAATGTTAAAAGGAATATCGTACACAATTGGCCGGGTGTTAAAAGAATAGTTCTGTGCATTTTTTTCTTTAATGTCGATTCATATGCTTCCAATGGCATAAGTAAACCGTTTGCTTCCTGAGATTGTTCATTTGCCATTGCATAGCACAGCAAAAAATTCAAATCTATAAAATGTTAAAATGGCATATAGGGAAATAAACAAAAGCTGTGTATATCTTTGAAATAAAAAAATTATTTCAACATTTTAAAATGTTCTTTTCATTGTTTATCTGTTATCGTTGATGACTTTCTAGAAGTTTGCTTCGTTACTCCATTTGCTCTTCTTTAGACAGAACGGTAATATTATTAAATGCAAAATACTCATTTTCATTTCTTCTTTGCCTCTTAGTAGATTTTTTCTAGACAAACTCCTCTCATAACAAGTTATACTTAAAACAAGTGTAAGGAAAATTTAAAAAAATGTTTGGAATTTCGTTTTGGAAATTGTGTTTTCGAATAAATTGTAAAGATTCACCACCTCTTGCTTTATCTTATCCTTCCACCTCTCGGTTTTGTCTTCCCAATCAGTAATCGAAGTAAAACACTGAAGTATTTTCTCTCTCAGTAAAGGACGCTTCCTTATTTATATCAATAGGATCATAATTTGTCTATTTCATTTACAAAAGCTTAGATGGAGTAAGAAATTCATAACAAGAAAGAGAAGCTATTTAAAAGCTTTGTAATTTCTTTGAATACTCTGTACAGTATAGAAACGCTCTTAATTCAGTTACGTATTACAATTTGGCATCTCGTTATTCTTCACCTAATCGGTGAACGAATGGATAATACTAGTAATTCGACTTGGCGTAAAATTACAAAAAAGGGACTGGTTGCCTTATGTTTTATTTTGCATGTAACGTATTATTCACATACGTGTGAATTGAATATTAGCCAATGCCTTTTTCGCAACGGGAATATGACCCAGTTCCTATTTTTTAAGTCCTTCGCTGAGAATTTTAGTCTTTAACGAAGACATACCTATCCTTACACGGATAACCACTGTGAATTTTGTAATAATCCAATGAATCTATTATTCTTTCTGTCCCCATATTACTAATCCCTATAATATGTTCACATAAAAAACCGCAGCCCAATGGACCTCTCGGCTCTTCTCTTGCTATGTCACTGTATATTTCCAGTACAAAGTTTCTTCAATTAAAGAAATATTAAGAAAAATGTCTTTCTTTATAGATTCGGAACTTTCTTTCAAAGTATTTTTATATGGTTCCTACGACGTAAAATAGAACTTCATCTAGTTAACTTTCTTTAAGCTTTAAGATTTAATTTTAAAAGCAAAATGTGTGATAACTTTACGTTCAAAATTCGGGGCGATTAATTGGACATTTCAGTCAATGTATTAATAAATTAAATTTTTAACGGGGATTGTTATTTTCCTCAAGATCGAACCGTTAATTTTCACAAACCAGTAACTTTTCTTTTATAGTTGCTTACAATTGTTTCTCGAAAGTGCATAAAAATAAAGTAGTTATATTTGAATAAAAATGTTTGAAGATGACGTTTGAAATATGTTAATACCCTTATTAGAAAATATGCGTAACAAAGATGGAGTTTTCCCAGTTATTTCAAGTAAAAATTAATTTTGTCTAAATCATCAAGGTTATTTGAATTACTAATCATACAAATATAATAAAAAAAATATGTTCATTTATTTTAATTTACTTCATTGTTTTTATCTTATAGTACAATCTGAACGGAAAGAAGATGGAACGACTTCTGAAAAGAATTATCCACACGAATGAAATCCCAGAGACGCCGAATATAAAAAATCCTGAATGTCTGAAGGCCTACCTGAACATACCTGAACTCCAGGATTACTAGAGATATCAAGTAGAGAATAGAGTAGCAATAATAGAATCCATAGCAGCATTCTGTTATACTAATTACCTGCAAAGAGCAGTGAAGCAGTTAATCCAACAGATGTTAAGGACAATGAAAAGCAATATCTTTGTTCTCAGTATTCTCAGTACTGCGAAACATTTTCCATGCAATCAAAGCCATTTTTTTCTCTCTAACTTCAATACCATTTATCACTGTTCAGTTTAGCGAAGATAGTTTAGTTCCCCTCCAAATATAAAATAGTTTATACCTTAAATACAAAGATCTAGTTTTCGGAAGTAAAAATATTTTTGCCGAATTCAGAATTAAACTCTGAAATTTCGATGAATTGAAACAAACTAATGTTAGGTATTTAAAATGAAATAAACCAAAATACATTTGGTAGATTTTATTTACGTAATGTTTTTGTTTTTAAAAGTACTCTTAATAAAGCAGTCATGCTGTTGATTGACAAATTACCAAATAAGCAAATTTTAAGCCTAAAAGCTATTTTGCCCCTTGATAGTTTCATTCGCATCTGAAAGCTCATTTGCTCAACTCGTCTTCTTTAAATTTATTAAAATTGCTTATTTGAAAATTACTTGCAAATTTTAAAAGGTAATACTTCAAAAATTAGTTTTTCTTGCTTACATGTGGGAACAGTTATACTAAAAACATGATTTTATAAATCTAATTCTGAACTTAAAAAAAGACGTGTTATTTTTGTTTTGCTGCAGTCATTCATACAAAGTTGCAATTCAGTAATGATTTGTTTCCAGTACCTGAAGTAATCATGATTTATAAGCATCTTAAATTCACCACGAATTGTAATTTTCTCAATGCTCTTCCTTGCCTAAAATTTCTCATGTAGTAACACTAAGTTAGTCTAAAGTACTGTCGAGTCGAAGGTTATTTAACGAGTCTTTTTGATGCTGCCGGTAAAAACCGCATAGAACTTTTACTCCTAAAAGGTGCTGCATAAACTTCACTATGTCTTTTGAAAAGACAAACATTACATCTGAAAAACTGTGTATTTCATACTCTATTCTTTTTAGTAATGATGGTATGGATCTGGTCTTCATACTGATGATGATATGAAAAATGTATTCGATTTTGATATTTCTTTGGTATTGTTCGGCTTTAAGTTGAAATTTTAATCTAACATCTAAATATTTTCAAATGCGAAAGTTCTCATTAATCGTCTTCTTGATATTACTTTTAACATGAAACCGTAGCAGACTGTTGTAGTTACAAAAGCCGAAACGTTTTTATCAACTGAAAATATTTTAAACTGGTGCCTTTTAGCTAGCTGGCTTTAAGCTAGTTTCATTTAACATTCCATTTAAATAGATTATCGCCCTGATAAAACAAGCATTTTCGCTAACTGAAGATGTTTTTAACTTGTGATAAATGTCCTGCGTTTGTAACAATTAGTGTTCGTATTTTCCCTATATATCTATATGTATACATATTTAATACACTTATACTGAAGTTTTGTATTTAATATATGATACATTAGTCTATATTTAACATGGAAGTCTTATTTTGTACAGCAATGTTTCTGTTTCGTATATACGAGATGCAGCATGTTACGTGATGAAACCAATTGTGAAATTCAATATAAAATATAAAGAAAGCAATATTTTACTATGCTTTCTTTAAATAATTGTTTTATGAATATTGCTATTTTTAGAGCCCAAACAAATTAAACGGGCAATGTTAATTTCAAGAATTGGGGAATTTATGCATGAGAATTAATCGTTTCGATAAATTAATAACTAAATAATGATTTATTTATCGAAACCATTATCTGAATATGCAAGATAATTGATTTGCTAATTCAGTTTAACAACAGTTAAAATTTTTGGAATAAAAGCTATTAGCAAATTTTTATTTTTATACGATGTATAAGAGTTCCATATTTTAACCAAACATGTACTGTAATTTTTTTTGTAAATAAAATATCTTTTGATTTGTTTCTAACCTGTGCCCTTTACTAAACTCTGACTATTGTTTGTTTTCCCAAATGCATTCTTTGTCATATTAGCATTAAGATATCTCAGACTAGCCACACAGATTTCTGAGTGTGCTACGGGAGATTAATTATAATAATAGACGATTCTAAAGTAAAAGATAAATTTATAAATAATGAATAAACTTGACACTAAGAAAATAATGAAATCTAAGGGAAATTAACTCCATCGTAACTTCATACATGGAGTTAGCTAATAACTACAAAATAAAACCTGGAGTTGGGTGTAGTTTGATACATCACTTTTCAAAAGAACCCCATAAATAGGCCAAAGTTGCACCGTGCGTGTTCTCGTGGTGTAAGAAATTAGCAGATGCTGTTAAGAAACGGAAGATCGATGGTTCGAATATCGGCGAAGCCACAGTTCATTTGTCATGTTTAACTAATGTATTCTACTGTGATATCCGAAGAAAAAGTAGACTATAATTCTTTGCCTAGGTTTATTAAACTGATTTTTGCATCTCTCACGGGCGCTCTTTAAGTGGTATAAAATGTAAGGAATTATCACCCCCTTGTAAGAATGTAAGGAATTATCACCCCTTGCGAGTGTTTCTATTCATCCATGTAACAAGGAAAGATCGTGGGCTTAAATGCTATACAAGGCACAATTGAGTTTTCAAGTTTGTTTTTATTCGAAATATCAAAAGATCTCTATACACTCACAGTGCAACCTAACAGATATTTGCACTTGCTATTAGCCACTTGTAGTACGTTTGTATCAGATTCTTCTACGATGCAGCATCTTCAATAATTTTATCTTACTTGTCTTTATTCAACTATGTTTACTTTTAGGACAAATGTTTTATAAACTCCCCCAAATATGCTTACGAATATTTGACATCATTTACTACCTATGACATCCAAACTTGTTTTTCTTAATAAAATGTTGGCCGTTTACTGACAGAATTTTCGATACAATTTATTTGCTTTGATACAATGATATTTCCATGGATTCGAAAGCTGAGAGAATAATAATAATAAACTATTGCTTTAAAACGGAGAGAAAATTATATCTCTATTTCAGACAAATCGCAGTTCTCTGCTTCGGCAGAATATCTCCAATAGCCACAAAAATTCAGTTCTGACATTCTGGAGTAAAGACCATGTTGATGACGCTTTTTGATTGGAAAGGGAAAATTCTCAAAGGAATCTTGAGAAACAGGAGGTGAATTCTATATTTAAAAAATAAGTATTGGACAGATTTCTGAAGAGAATTAAGCGATTTAGCTATAAATACCTCCATCAAAAAATAACTTTTGCTGCACTATCAAAAACTTTCAAGTAGTTTCTAACAAAGAAGAGTGTCGCAATTCCCAGTTAACCCCCTTATCCACCAGATTTGCAAATACATTCTGTTATTATAGAATGAAGTCTAACTTTACGACATTTACTACGGAAGAATAACGCGAGCCAAGCACTTTATAGATTTATAAAGTCTGTATTTTGAAGGTAAAACATAAGAATGTTTTCTTCAATTTCAATATTTTAAGACTAGTGCATCTGTAAAATTTTAGGATTATGTGTCTCAACCTGAAGCGTCATTTTTTGCAGAAAGCAAAACTTCGGCATCCCAGGGGGAAAGAATAAGAATATTAAGTTATACTGTTTAGGGATGCATTATTGTAATTTTTAACAATGGTCTGAATTCTTGGGTTCCTGTTATTTCTTTTCGTACCTCTTATATTTATTAATTAGCTTAATTCGCGAATCCGCTAATTGCGACTCACGCTGTCATTCATTTCGCATATATGAAAACAAAAATTGTTTATCTTTAATTCATCTGCTGTTAAATAGTGCTATGAAATTATAATGAACAAGAATTTTTTAGAATGGTACAATTTCTTTACATCAAGTTTTTGAAGTGTATGCACTACAGTGAAACAATTTTTGTATTAAATATAGTATATATATTTATAATTTCGGACTAATGTGTCAATTTTAATAAAATATTTAAGGAAAATCAATATTTTACAAAACGTTTATAACAAAATCCTTCATTTTATATTATTCAAATTATGTTAATGCATGGCACGGAGTAAGCGTTCACATTTCCTCTGCGATTTAACGTGCATCTTGCGGCTATAGCTTAAATTCGTAAAAAACAAAATTCGAAGTAAAAAATTTTTGTCTTTCTTCTTAACGCGTAATACCTGCCCGGCTTGATACATTCGTATACAAGCGGAAGGCTTGATTCCTTCGTAGAACTCATTTGGAATAATGTTAATAATCTGGTGAAGTTCTGAATCTCCTTAATGCTGCTGAATCTCTATTATAAGACTTAACTTCAAAGAGAAAGTAGTGTATAAATATTAAATCTGCTGAATGATGAACTAGTAGTTGGACCTGTGTCATATTTCTTTGCTAAAAACTGTTTATATGATCGAAAATGTGTGATGTAACATTATCGTACAGCGCAAAACAAGATAGAGATCCTCACGACCATTTTATAAGAAATGTGTTTGAGGATGACCAACTCCTCCTTCAATTCGGTCCAAGAGACGGGTGGCGATTTTTCAGCGAAAGCTGTCTAACCTTTCAATGCTTTTTGTGCATTCGATGGGTAAAGGAATATATACCCTTTTTCTTATGAAGGAAGTCTTAAATATGCGATTTTTTCTGAGTAAACCACTTATGTTATATAGTAGTTATTATTGGATTTTAAAGGTAGGCATTGCGTGAAACTCAAATTCAATTAAGTAAAAAAGGCTTTTAAAGTAACGCTACAACTCTAACATAAATAACCTTTGTGCAGCTTCCAGTATGGAAATGGCGCAATATATAATTACTGTGACGTCATCCATATATTTATAATAGCTTCACGTCCCACCCCAAATAATAACATCCAAATATTACAACATGGGTGGTAAAAATATGATTCGCGATTTCTTCGAAGTAAAGGCAATTTTTTTTATTTGTTTCGTTGCAGAAAAATTTTGTTTTAGAATTGTTCTGTAACGGATTTCATTTGATCATCGTTAAAATTTGGATGATCACTGTTCAAACTATGACGTCATCCATATATTTATAATAGCTTCACCCTCTACACCAAATAATAACACCCAAATATTACACTTTGGCTCATAAAAATATGATGCACGATTTGGTCAATGTTAAGGTCTTTTTTTTCCCTTCGATACTGAATTCGGTTTTGTGACCAGATTTATGCTCTAAGTCAGACATTTCTTTATCCTCAATTTTAGAAATTGTTGAAAGCTGTAGATTATAGACATTGCATATTTGCAGTAAACAAATAATAAAGATAGCTAACATTAATGACATGCGTAACTGAAATACAAGCTAGCTTTGTTTAAACAAATCTCCCTGAAAGGATTTCTCCGTTTAGACAACCCTCGTGAGCTTCGTAATCTAAATCCAAATTTTAACAATGATCAAATGAAATTCGTTACAGAAACATTTTGTTTCAGAATAAGCATTTCCTGAAAACCTTGTATTAGATACATATCAGAAAAGGTAAGAGAAAGAACAAGGCCTTACTATGTTTCTACAGCTCACCAAACATAAGTTCTGTTTTTCAACTGAAACGAGTTCTACAGAAATCAGCGACGATAAGAGTTAAGGCCAGTTGCCTTAAAATAACTTCAGTTTGTTACTCCGTGGTATGTTGTTGTTTAGACATTGCCAAGGTCGAGCAGAGAAAAAATATCAATGTCATTCGATTACCGTACCGCTTGTTTGCTTTCGAATCCATGACTTCGATTCGAAAGTTCTCAAGATTCTCAAGAAGTTCCTCAAGATTCGCTCAGGTGATTACTCGGAAAAAAAACTGAATTTTGATTCACTTGGAGATAAATACGAATAATTAAGTCATACACAACGTAAACAACTCTGTGTATTATTTAAAAAATATTTTGCTTTTAAGTCGATCAAAGCTAAATTTTCTTTATAAGGGAATAGTCATGTACAGTAAAATGAATTATGCATGTTATACAAAGAAAGATATACATCAAATCGTATTCAGCATCCGTAGTTCCGCTTATCGCGCCTAGTTTAAGTCATAAACAGTGTAACTATGCATATTGTGTAAAAAATTGTGTTGTTTTTGTGACTTATCTCACTTGTCTGGCAATAGCACCAGAACAAGCTCACGAAATTCATCGTGACAAGGACAGCAAAATTACACCTGTCGTTGGCAATCCTTGAGCACCATACAGGTAACAGTGCGATTTAGCTCAGTTCCGCTCCCAATTTAGATGGACAGCTCCCCGGGGGGGGAGTACGGGCCCGAGAGTCTTCTAACCCACTTTCACTACCATCAACCTCTCGAGAGGACTTTTGGCTCGCCGTGTATTTACAGTGCTCCTATGCCGCACAGGCACTATACGTTTACAAATATTCATGCCTTCTCCGGGACTCGAACCCGGGCCGTTCGGTATCGCAGTAGGCTCCCCTACCCACTATAACGTCTGGGTGGCTGTATAAAGAATAATATGTTTAAAGTTAGAAGCCGCATGAGCAATTATGTATGTTGCATAATTTGACAAGAGCTAGATCGTAAACGTTTAGGTTCGGCGGGCCATATAGCACACTCGAAGACATTTTTACATGTGTAAATTTACCCAGAAAGCCAAAAAAGTGATATTTTTACATAATATTTATACGCATTGTGCTGACACAAAAAAATGAATAAAATATTTCCATTTATTAATAAACGTATAATAGAATAATTTAAGTTTTATACTAATGAGGTATATATAATTGCTTCTTCTGAGATATTTTATGGTACTGGAGTTCGATGTCAGTATTTCCTTTTCTTAAACTTGTTTACGAATGATCATCTGTTAATAATGATTTGTACTGCAATTTCGCATATTTTATTTTCAAAAATATTCTTTCCCATTGGCAAAAAATACACTCAAATACTGATATAAATTCCCATACTTATGACTCTAACTGACTGTAATTATCATTCAAAAGATACTTATCGAAGTTA